GGCAAAGGCAGCTGAAGACGCTGGCCCACGATGACACAGCTAGTGAGTGGCAGGGTTGGATTTCAACGTGGGCTTCCTAGCTTCAGAGTCTCTGCTGGCAACCACAACTCCTAGCTGGAATATTAAATTCCATTTTAAAATAAATATGAAGCCTCTGTAACATTAAGTTTCTCTAGTTTTAACTAATCAGCACCTGTATTCGTTAGGGTTCTCCAAGGAAATAGTACCAATTGGATATGTGTGTATTTGTATCTATGTGTATTTATATATTTAGTATCAATAGTAATATATAAATAGTATATCAATATAAAATATATAGTATGAATATTTATAGACACACAGGCACACACACACACACATATATAGAGAGATTGAGACAGAGAGAGAGAAAGAGAGATTGAGACACAGAGAGAAAGAGAGAGAGAGGGGTGATTTATTTTAAAAAATTAGTTCATGTGACGATGGAGGCAGGCAAGTCCAAAATCTGTAGTTCAGGTCTGAAGGAGGTCGGGCTGAAGACCCAGGAAATAGCTGATGCTGTGGTTCAAGTCTGAAGGCCACCTGCTGGCAGAAGGTTTTCTTGCTCAGGGGAGGTCAATCTTTTGTTCTATTCAGGCCCCAATTGATTGGATGAGGCCCACCCACAGTTATGAAGGGCAATCTGCCTTACTCAAGGTCTACCAATTTAAACGTTAATCTCTTCCAAGAACACTCTCACAAAAACATCAGAATAATGTTTGACCATATATCTGGGCATTGTGGTCCAGCCAAGTTGACATATAAAATTAACTAGGACAGTACCCTTTAGCATTTTGATTTTGGAAGGGTTGGTGGACACCAACTGGGCCCAGAGAAGAAGAAGACATGTTATATGCAGAAAAGAAAAGCTTCTTCTTCTTTTTTTTTTTTTTTTTTTAAATAAAAGAAAGCTTTTACTAGACCTTAAGGTGAAGGATTTCTTTTCTGTCTTGGTTTCACAGGTGAAGGGGTAAGATTCAGGAAGCTGTGGAACGGTCCACAAAGCAGACATGAACGGGCCCTCTTCCTGCCTGTGGTCTAAGCAAAAAGGATTCTCATGACTCACATGGGGTCTAGCTACGTCATCTGGCAATATCTAGAAAGGGACTTGGAGTCAAAGGCCAGGGCTAGGGATTGCAAATTTCAACGCTTACAGGAATCAAGCAGGGACCATTAATGAGCGAGGCAGTCCAGGTACAAGGCAAACAGCAGCACAGGTGCGATGATAAGTAGTAATTGTCCTTCCCTTTCAGGTGGAGGAAATCAGGAGGGAGTGGCAGAGCTGGAGCAGATTGGAGTGTGCCCGCCCTTTGTAAAGTGGCCAGCTGCTCCTGCCTTGAGCTGATGGCTGCCAAGGAAAATTAGAAATCTGGATTTTCTTGTGAAATCTGATTTTCTATTTCTAAACATTTTGTGTAATATTTTTATTATTTTAAAATTAATTAAAAGTTGACAAATGAAAATTGTATATATTTATCATGTACAATGTGATGTTTTGAAATATGTGTGCATTGTGGAATGGCTAAATCCAGCTAATTAACATATTTATTACCTACTTTTTGTTTTGAAATAACTTCAGACTTACAAAGGATTTGTAAAAGTCGTACAAAGAATTTTTACATCCTCTTTCTAGATCCACTGGGGACTCGAGCTCCCAAATGTCAACATTTAATCTCTCTTGCTTTATCATGCTCTGCCTTTGTTTCTGTTTCTCTCTTTGCTTTTTCCTTAACATCTTGAGAATTAGATTTGAAATTTTAGTTTACATAACAGAAGACCCCTTTAGAAATGGCTGTCCTTTTTTTTGAAATAGAGTCTTGCTCTGTTACCCAGTCTGGAGTGCAATGGAGCAATCTCCGCTCACTGCAACCTCCACCTCCCAGGTTCAAGCAATTCTCCTGCCTCAGTCTCCTGAGTAGCTGGGATTACAGGCATGTGGCACCATGCCCGGCTAATTTTTTTTTGGTATTTTTAGTAGAGACGGGGTTTCAGCATGTTGGCCAGGCTGATCTCAAACTCCTGAGCTCAGGCAATCCACCTGCCTCGGCCTCCCACAGTGCTGGGATTACAGGCGTGAGCCACCGTGCTTGGCCCCTTGATCATCGTTATGACAAATCCTGATGCTTGTGGGTTTATTTTTAGAAATAATCATTTCTTGAATAGGCAGGACTTGGTGGAGTGTGTTTTTCCTCAAACAATGCTCCCAAATACAGATAGTCCCTGACTTACAATTTTTTGACTTTATGTCAGTGAGAAAACAACACACATTCAGTAGAACCCATACTTCTAGTACCCATAAAAGCATTCTGTTTTCTACTGTCATTATGGTGTTCAATAAATAACATGAGCTATTCAACACTAAAAAATAAAATAGGGTTTTATTATATAAATAGGGTTTGTGTTAGATGATTTTGCCCAGTTTTAGGTGTATGTAACTGTTTTGAGCACATGTAAGATAGCCAACACTAGGCTATGATGTTCAGTAGCTTAGGTACATTAAATTTACTTTTAACTTACATTTTCAACTTACAACGGGCTTATCAGGATGTAACCCCAACCTAAAGTGAGGGGCATCTTGTATGTGTTGTCAAATCTCCCTTTTCCATTTTTTCATGACATGTTGAGAGGATTCCATGCGTCCTAGTTCCTTGTGGTTGTTGAGAGTCCATCCAGCTTAAAATCTTACCTCCTTTCCCCTCCCTAGCATATGCTTCACTGGAGAGACATGAAAAGGGGTCAGGTCTGGTTCTGGATCTCAGGGGAGGTGGGACGAGGCAGACAGAGATCTTTCAAGGTCACTGGTCACAGTCAATGAGGGAGAAATCCTGATCTCTTCTCGGCTTGGTCTCCATTCTTCTGCTTCTCTGGAGGCCTCCACAGAAGCAGGCTGTGATGGTCACCAGATAGGTGGTGGTTAGCTTCACCACAGCCCTGCCATTGTGTGGAGCCCCTCAAAGAGTGGCAGTTCCCTTAGGCCAGTGGCCCACACTGTCAACCCTCTCACCAAGTGCTGCCTCCTCCCATCCAGCCTGGAAGCCCCTCATGCTGGTTCTTGTCTGTTGACCCTCTTTAAATGTACTCATGAGAGCAATGGGAATCCTAAGTTCTCTTCCTTGCCCTTCAGTGGCCTCAGGAGCCTGGGAAAAGAGTGTCTTCTTGCATCTCTTCCATGGGCTACCATGAAAAACTTCTTGCCTCTAGAAATGTCAGATGATAAACAGGTACCTGCTTTTTTGTTCACTTTGCCCTGTGGCAGAAGTTGCTATAGGGACACAAACATTCACTCTGATCATCTTCCTGCTAGGCATTTCCAGTCCTTGCAGTTAGGTGTGGCCACTGGGAGTGGGCTCTTGTATTACTTGCTGGTATAGCTCATACACACCTCCAAGAAATCTGTTCCATGCTCCTCCCTGCTTCTGTGATTGGAAAGGTGATGAAGATGATAGAATGATCTTGAAGCCAGGTATTGAAGATGGCAGGGCTATTGACATCCTTGTATCCTTAAATGACTTTGTGGAGAAGACAGACTATTGCCTCTTGCCCCCAAATCTGGAGCAAACCAACTTGACTTGTACATGAGCTGGTGTTTGTGCAATTGTATCTTGGATCGCTGTTTATAGTAGGTTAGCCTTCCCTAGTTAATATACTCTTGATGCCTGGGGACATGGCTTTCTCAAGAGCTGACCTACTGTGCTCCAGTCTGGGCAGCTTCAGGTCAGTCTAGAGGGTGCATTCATCTGGGGGGTGGGAGGTTGGAGGGGAGATGCCTGTCTCCTCCTGGACGGGAACCTTCAATCTTGGAGTGATTTCCACAGCCCTTCACCTGAAGGGTAGAAGAAGCATCTCCCTCCCTTCTTCCATGGAGCTGTTCGGGAAAAATCTCTTTGCCATGAACACTGCATTCACCACAGAGCCAGTGACCCGGATGATTCCATTTTTTTATCCTTCTCCACAGGGCAGAGAATGATAATCCTGTGGCTGATTGGGGTTGGGCTGGCTTTTCTAGCTCCAAGAAAGTCCCAGGATGGTGGGCAGGCTCCAGATGTCAGTTCTTCATGGAATGTGGGGTGCTTGGGGGTCTATGATTCTAGCTGTGGGTCCTAGAGCCAATTCCAGGGCAATGGGAAAAGTCCCCCTCAACACTGATGCAGGGTAAAACACTGTTGGGCAGGCAGAGTGAGGGATAAGGAGGCCACCGGTTTGGGACTTGAGGCTTAGCCCTTGCAAATATGGGTGAGAGGCTGGGTATGAATCAAAGAACTTGCTGCAGCTTTGCTCTCTGGGAAGGTTGGGTCTGGAAGCTGTGGTTCAGGAAGCTGTAAGGGCCAGGGTGCCAACTGAAGCCTCATGGGGTGCTCCTCCAGCCTCGTGGGCTCCTGGCCAAGTTTCTTACCCCACCTCTTCTTAAGGAAAACACACACATACTCCAAGTATTACAGATGCTTTCAATTTAATAGCTGTTTAAAATTTTTTTTTTTTTTTTTAGGTTTTGGGCTGAAGACTTAAAGCCCGCTGCTCCTGGGCATCATTTCTCAGCTTCTCCTTACAGCCGTAGTGCTGAGTCAAGGATGTCTTTAGCATCATGAATAGTTTCTAGGACAGCCATAGAAAAAATGGGGGAAAGAGGTAGGAAGACAAAAGGAAGGGAAAGAGAGCAAGGGAGTTGGGGAAGGAGAGGGAGGGGGAAGGGAAGGGAGAAAGGGGAAGGGGGAGGAGGAAAGGCGGAAGGGGAAGGGAAGGGAGAGAGGGTTGGGGGTAGGGGGAAGGAAGAGAATATGAGTAAGGATTCCAGGGTCCCAGGTGCCAGCTCCACCCCTTCCATTCCTCCTCAACTCTGTCTTTTGCTTTCCAAACTCACTGAGGCCTGGAAGGGCTTACACAGAAGTCAGAGGGATGGAGGTTAGATTCAATGGAGCCCCAAGGACCCACCCTCTTCCCCGCGTTAGCAGGGACAGGGGGTAAGAGCAATAAAATGAAGCAAGTTAGATCGCAGGGAGAATCAATATCAGACAAGAATGGCCATTTAAATCCGCATGAGATATTGGAGACATTTGAAAGCACAGTGAGGGGTCTTCAGTGTCAATGGCGGGGGCTGTGGCAGTTTCAGGTCTCATGCAAGGGGTGGAGGCTGAGGCTGGTCCTGAGGGAGCAGTGGGGACGTACTTACCTTTACCTATATTTTCTAGATCGTCAACTGCGTCTTTTGCTAGGTTTTCAACTCCTCCCAAAGCTTTTTTTGCTGCCTCTAGGCCTTTTTCTAGGGTGGATTCAGAAAAGAAGAGGTCATGCAAGCAGAAAAACTGCTTCCTTTATAGGAGAACTACCTTCCCTTCTACCTTCCTAGGCAACACGGTCACCCCTAGGGTGAAGTGACTTTGCTGAGGGAACCAACTTCTCTGTCATGGGAAGGTTGGTGGTCCAGTATAAGCTGCAAAACCTATGGCCCAGAAACTCTGTGTGTAGAAGCAGGTGTGCACCCCCCAACCCCTCCCTAGGAGTATAGATGTAGCTGTGTCCCTGTGCTTGACTTGTGCCTGTGAGTGCAGACTGGCCCCCAGATAGATCCTGCTGTTGCATGCATCAGAATTCTATGCCAGGCATTGGCAAAGAGGCTTACCCAGAAGGCTGGATCTCTGCCTCCTTAGCTTTGGTGGCTGTCTGGCTAACCTTGGGTCTTCACCTGCATTTTCCTCTTGAGCTGCTGATACCTTATGGGAAGCTGCAAGGGGGAGGGGTGAGAGGAATGATAGCTCCCTCCGCTCTTCCCCGGGGGCACGGGTGGTGCTTACTCCCTCAAGGTCTGGCTTGAGGGTAGCTCCTTGTCTTCAATTCCTCTAGAGCTTGACTTTCACGATGTGCTAGGTTTTTTAGCATCCCTCAAGCTTTTTTCCTGCTGTCTCCAGGACTTTTCCTGCTCTTCCAGGGCCTTTTTCTAGAGTGGATTATGGCTTAGGGAAAGTAAAGTCATGTTGGCAGAAAGATCACCTTAAAGAGACTCCCCCTAGTTTTCATCCCTTATACCAGCCTCTTAGTGTGCAGAGGTTTTGCAGAGGGCACTAGCTTCTCTCTTCTGGGCAGGCTGGTGGATGAGGACAGAAATTTGACAGTCTCTGAAGGGGGCTTCTGCAGCTATAAACAATCCATTTGTTTATGTGGAGAATCAAAACTTCTCTTATCGCATTGGTGTGAGACATACCAGGGGCGTCTGAGAAGAGATCAAGGTGCCCGGTGTTCCCTCTGGGTTGTGTGTGAGAAGGCGGGGGGGAGTGCAGGTGTGTGCTGTGGTTGGGGCTCACAGTGCAGTGAAGGTGTAAGGAAATACAGTTTATCTTTCTGCTGTTAAGTATCCTGAGTGTGTACACGGCTGGGGAAGCAGAAATGAATGAGAATTAGATCCCTCTCTCAAGGGTTTATTGTCTAGGAAAGGAGACAAAACTGCTACATATGGAAAGCCCAGAGGAGGGAGGGATGAAAGGAGAGATGGGGACAGAAAGAGGCACCACACCCACCGGGCAGGGAAGGCCTCAGAGAGCAGCTGGGGCTTGAAGCTTGATAGAGCATGGACAGGGAGGGGTTGAAAGGCGCCTGGGGAGGAGGAATGTTGGGTAATAGAAAGTTACTCATTTTGCCGGATGAGACAAATGTGTAACATTTGATGTGGGGAATACAAGCAGTGGAGTCTGGGGAAATTATATTTGAAAAGTATCCTGGATCTAGGTCATGAATACCCTCACTGTCAGACTAGGAGGTAAGAGTTTTGTGATGGGAAATGGGGAACCACATGAAAGGTTTTTGAATTGAAATTGGTGGTGAGGGTGGGACATGATGAAAACTTCTGAACCTATCTAGTGTTAAGTTCCTCCTCTTGCTCAAGGCAAGTTTTCCTTTCTTTCCCTTTTTTCTTACTCAACTTCTACATCCATACAGGGCTACCCGTTCCCCCGGGCTCTGTCCTTCTCCCATGTGTGAGTCTCGCAGGAAGTCTCCCTTTTCAGTATCTCCAAAAAGCCAGCCTCCCAACTCTCCTTCCTCTGGACCCCTCTTCTGCTTCTATGACTTCCTCCACTCATACACCCCGTCATTAGCCCTCCCACCCAGGACTGGGGCAGGAGGAAGAGGAAGGACTCACGGTTCCCTGCTCCTGGGGCAGAGGCAGCCTCTTCGTCATCTGCAAAGGAGGAAACAGTGACCATGTCAATTAGGGTGCAGTTGCATGAACCATATCCAGCCAGGGCTGCCTAGAGTCCCCATTTCTTTATTCTTCCAACAGGATGAATGAAGCACACATTATCACCAGACAAGTTAGCCAGAGTATGAAGTCAGTTCCCAGTTTGCCCTTCAGATAGGGGTGGGAAGCCAGTGGTGTTAGAGGCTGGAGATACAGCTATGAGGAAGACAGATAGCGTTTGCTCAGGGAAGCTGACAGTCAGTGGGGGATTTGGAGGAATTAACATAATTACACAAACAATTATTTAATTACATTTGTGATAGTGCTAGGAAGGAAAAATACAGGAGGCAATAAAATGAAAAACAGGGACCTAAATGATTCTGGGGCTTCAGTAAGGCTTCTGTGAGGAAATACATGGAGACAGAGAACCAGAGGGGCAGACTTGGAAGTTGAATAGGAGGGAGGTTGACATGAGTGGGTGAAAGAATGGGCAGGGGGAAAGACAGAGGTTGTGCAGAAGTCTTGGCGGTAGGAAATGGCATGGTTCATTGAGGGGAAAAAGAGTGCCCGAGTGGCTGGAGCAGAGGGCCGACCACAGACTGAGAGGAGAGGCGTGCAGAGCTGTGTTGGGGCCAGGGGGCTCCCGGCTTCCTCTGACCAGTGGGCACAGGGCCTCTGTGTGGAGAACCCAGTGGGAGGCAAGAGTGGGCTACAGAGACAGACATGGGAGAACTGCCTCTGCCGACGAGGGGAAGGGAAAATGAAGGCAGGGGCCAGTCTTCCGGGGACGATATGGTTGGGTGTAGGGGAAGAGCCATACTCACAGGCACAGACCAGGGCTTCTGCCAGAGCTGCCAGGAAGAGGAGAGTCATGAACCTCATGCCTCTGTGTGCTGGAGTGGGTATGCCACCAAATCCTTGGAGATCCTGGGATCTGAGGTGTCCAGACTGCCTCTCTGGGCCTCTTTTAAGCATGACAGGGACCAATGGGAACCAGTTTTCCAGTGGTGTGTTCTCCTCCTCCTCTTCTCCCACCTCAGAGCCACCTGTTAAGTCAACAATGGCTGGTTGGGGCCGGCTGGTACCCGCCTTCCCTGCAGGTAGGTCCTGGACAGCAGCTCCAGAGCTGGCACTGTCCTGACTGGCATCCTTTGCCTGCCTCTCCCTTCCCCAACTTACTTGTCCCTGGGCTCCCAAATCTGATCACATCTGGGGTCCTGGGGAGACTGTGAGAGGTTTCTGGAGAGGGCCCTGGCAGGGAGCTGTGCCCAGAAAGCTCTCCTTCCACCTGGAAACAGGAGGGGGGTCCAAGACATCAGGAGAGAGTGGGGGTGGCTGAGGCTTCCCTTGAGTGGGCTAAGCCCATCCCAGGAGGCTGCCCTCATAGCATTTGGGGACCCCTCCTGACTAAGGTCCAGAGAGGTTGCTGTCCTCTCTGTGGTTCTCCGTATGGTAAGCAGAGCTCCCCAGCCTCAGTAGGCCCTGACTAAGGTGTCTTCAGTCCCAGCTAATGATCCCCTACCACAGAAAGTTCTGGTAAGTTAGCCAGAGTATGAAGTCAGTTCCCAGTTTGCCCTTCGGATAGGAGAGGGAGGCCAGCGGTGTGGATAATCCAGATAAGTGGAATATCCAAAGGTGCTTCTCTCTGCCTCAGCAACCCTTCCTGCAGACTTGTGTTTGCTTTGAAATGGCAGAAACAGTCCTGGAGATATGGGTTTGTAACTCGATTTTGCTGTTTACTAGCTGTGTGGCCTTCAGAGAGGCAATCCGCTCGTCCACTTCAATTGTTTTACTTTCTTCTTTTATTTTATGGTAATATCTAAGGTGTAACATGGTGTTTTGATACACACGTAGATAGTGAAATGGTTACTATAGTCAAACAAATGAACATCTCCATCATTTCGCATAATTAGCCGTGTGTGTGTGTGTGTGTGTGTGTGTGTGTGTGTGTATGAGAGCACCTAAAATCTAGTCTTCCAGCAAAAATCCCAAATTCAATACCGTATTATTGATTCCAGCTCTCATGTTACACTTCAGCTGTTTTGCATTTGATGGTGGGAAATGATCATTCTTTTTTTTTTGAGATGGAGTTTCGCTCTTGTTGCCCAGGCTGTTGTGCAATGGCTGGGAATACAGGCATGCGCTACCATGTCCGGCTAATTTCATATTTTTAGTAGAGACAGGGTTTCTCCATGTTGGTCAGGCTGGTCTCAAACTGTCAACCTCAGGTGATCTGCCCACCTCGGCCTCCCAAAGCACTGGGATTACAGGCGTGAGCCACTGCGCCTGACCTGAGAAATGATCGTTCTTATCCTACAGGTTTTGTGTAGGAATACATGTGTCAAAATTGGTCAATTTCCTCCGTCTATTCCATACCCAAGGTGGGGAGCTGAGGATAACTTGGAATCTGGGTTTCTGCTCCTGACTAAGCTGGTTACTTCCCTGAGATGTCTTCTCTCCATGGAGTGGAGCCTGCCCTTGCCCTGTTCCTGGAAACTTTGTGAAAACAGACTGAGATTTGTTTCCTGAGGTGCTCTTTCTGTGCCAGGCACCGTGCTGGGCCCAGACAGATAAAGATGAGTAGACTGTGGTCTTTCTTTGAGAAGGTACACAGTGGACAAGGATCTCAGACAGATGAAGGGACAATCGGTGGTAGCAGGGGACTCCACCCTGGAAGAGAAACCATGCTCCTCCTAGCCTATGGGACTGAAGCAAAGTTCTGCTCCACCAGTTAGAGGCTGAGTGATTTTGGGCATGCCACGTAATCTCTCTGACTCTCGTCTCTGCAGTGTGACCAGGATACTTATAAAATTCGAGCAGGAAAAGCACAGATCCACTTTCTGGGGCTCTTCCCTGTGCTCTGGGTGTCTTCCTCCACCTCCACAGGACCTCAGTCCATCTGAGCTCCCGCCGTCTCTCCTGTTGTGTGCTTCATTGTGAGCCCCTCTTGGCTTTTTCCCTTCAACATATAGACATCTTAAAAACAAGCAAAATGTTCCCTTTATACTATCCCTGTCCAGCTTCTTTCCAATCCTGCAACCGAGCTTTTTGAAAACAACTCCATTTTTTTTGGCCTCAACATCCGTGTTTTGCTTTGCGTTCTTACCATCCTGTGGTGTTTTCACCACCATCCCTGGAACGGAGACACTTCCTTGCCAAGGTGCTCAGATACAGTCACCACTTTCCAGCCTTAATCTGATCTGATCTCTGTGGGCTCTGACACTGTTAGAACCACTCATCTTTGGAGGTGCTGGGGTTTTCTTTCTTTCTCTCGCTCTCCTTTTTTTGACCACCCTTCAGCCCCACTTTCACGCACCTCACCTGCCCCTTCCATATTCTCCGGTGTTCTATTCTTAGCCCTTTTCTTCTCTCCTCTTACACACTGTCCTGTGTGACTCATTCTTGGAGTCACATTGCTGACTCCCACATTTTCATTCCAGCCCAGACCCCTCTCCCGAACACTGATATCCACTGACGGATGGGCAGTAACAGGGTGAACCCTAGGGGTCGAAACTGGCCTCACCTACCTTCCCCGCATCTTCCCCATCACCTGCTGCTCCTCCTGCACCATTTTCTGTTCTTATTAACAGTACTGGCCTTCACCCAGTTATCTAAACAGAAATCTGAGGGTAATTTCACATTTTTCCTTCTCCTGGCCCCCTATGTACAAGGACACTGGGGTTTATCAAGTGTCAACCCCACGGCTCTAGCTCAGAAGCCTCTGCCTGGGGGCCTTGCCATTTTTTATGTCCACTGAAGAAACAGCTTCACAACTGGTTTTCCCTCTGACAGTCTCAAGTTCCATCTCCCAGCTGTCTAAGTGATTTCTAGTAGGCAAACTATGTGCAGAGCACACACTGTCTTTCATGAGCTGGTGTCTGTCTACCCCTTCAGTTTCAACCCTTCTCACTCCCTCATTGAGACTGCCTCAGTCACATTAAATTTCTTTTAGTTTCTTACATAGATTTAGTTTTTTCTTGCCTCTGGCTCTTCACATGTTTTCTTCTGTGTATTGTCTTTAATGCCCTCCTACGATTAGATGACAGGGCTTCTTCCTACTCATCCTTCAAGATTCAGATCAGAAATACCTTCTTCCTGGAAGATTTAATTTTTTTTTTTTTTTGAGATGGAATCTCACTCTGTCACCAGGCTGGAGTGCAATGGCACCATCTCTGCTCACTGCAGTCTCTGCCTCCTGGGTTCAAGCGATTCTCCTGTCTCAGCCTCCTGAGTAGTTGGGACTACAGGCATGTGCCACCATGCCCAGCTAATTTTTGTATTTTTAGTAGAGACGAGGCTTCAGTATATTGGCCAGTATGGTCTTGAGCTTTTGACCTTGTGGTCTACCCAACTCGGCCTCCCAAAGTGCTGAGGTTACAGGTGTAAGTGACTGTGCCCAGCTCCTGGAAGATTTTCTTGGCATTCTTCTTGTACTCCTTCCTCTCCCCACCAAAGTGAGAGCAGAGTTCTGGGCTAGGCACTTCCACCATCCCCTTGTTCTTCTCTTTATCTGTGCATCACTCAGGTGGTACTGGGATTGTCTGTTCAGTGCTTGGTTTTCTACACTAGACTTGAGCTGTGCAGTGAAGGACCATGTTTAATTTGTTTGTGCACCCCAGCCCCAGTGAAGATGCCAGACACACAGTTAGAATGCAGTAACTTGGTGAAGTGCAGCTAGAAACCTACAAGTGAGCAGGGCTAGAAACCTTCAGAGTTTGGGCAAGAGACAAGAACTGGCGGATAAAGCTTAGATTACACTAATGACATTAATCTGTTGGAAACAGGTATACCAAGCTGCTTTAAAAATATTTAATATTTGTTTATAGTTTTTTCTTTGAGATGAAACTTACATACAATGAAATATACATATTAACTGTATTTTTTGGTCTTGACAAATGCTTCTACTGATGTAATCCAGACTCCAATCAAGATATGAAGAAAGTTTCCTCCTGCCTTTTCCCAGGTGATACCTGCCCCAGCTCCTAGAGGCAAACTGAACTGTTTTTAAATACATTCTGTTTTCTTTTAATTTTAAGAGACAGGCTCTTGCTCTGTCACCCAGGCTGGAGTACAGAAATGCCATCATTACTCACTGCATCCTCAAACTTCCGGCCTCCAGCGATTTGCTCACTGCAGCCTCTCAATTTAATGCACTCCTTGCTGGAATATCTGTGGGGTTTATTCAATCCTAGCTTGACAGCCTTCTTTCTCTGTCTTGTCATGGGGGCTTATGCCTGTAGAAACCTGACAATTCCAGCCATAGAAGCATCCTTGGGTCACGAAAGAGAGCTTGCATGCTTTCAAAGGTGTGGAGAGTCTCTCTGGTGTTCCATGGTGAAAAGGGTCAGCACTGGGCCTTAAATTTTCATGCAGTTCATGGTGTGATTCCCCAGGAAGGGCCCAGAAGACAGGTTAAAATATGGGGAATACTTGGCTCTGGACAGAATCAGTTTCTGTTTAACCGATGGCTTCCAGCAGGGTCCTCAGAAGAAAAGGTCAGGTAGTTTCAGAAGTCCAGTGTGGGAATAATGTGGTTAAGAACTGGGAGTCAGGAGGTGAGTTAAGTCTAATATCAAAGGCAGGTGGTACTTGTGCAGGGCAAGGAGAATTCAGAGAAAGGTTGGCAGGGGCTTCATTCCTTTTGCAGGAGCTGAGTACTGGCATCCGAGGGATAAGTATGAGTTGGTATCCACCATCATGGAGTTCGTAATCTAGGCTTGGTGATAAAGTTATGTTAAACAATTCTATATTAATATGGCCGGTAAAGGAGAACCTAGAAGGGAAAAATGAAGGTCTGAAGTAGTTCAGGGATGTTGAGAGGAGAAGAGGGGAAACTTAGAGGAAGCACTCAGAGGCATTATGGTCAGGAGAGTGAGGGAGAGGAAGGGCTCCATTCCTGAAGATCTGAAACCAAGTGAGTGATAGGGCCGGTGATGGGGAGGCCTGAGTATGGGGAGCACACACACACATGTGTGTGTGTGTGTGCGTGCATGTTGTGTGCGTGTGTGTGTGCACAGCGATGGGGAGGCCTGAGTATGGGGAGCACACACACGTGTGTGTGTGTGTGTGTGTGTGTGCGTGTTGTATGCGTGTGTGTGTGCACACATTTGAGTGGGAGGTATGTGTAGGCAGAGGGTGATGCTCCCTTCTCAGTCAGAAGGTCATCTCGGACAGATCGTTACACAGCCCTCAGGAACAGTTCTTGCTATTTGCACAAGTCTTTTCCAGGAGGAGATTATCCCTCAGGGTTCTGGAGTCAGCACTGCCAAGGAGCAGCCTCTCTGCACTCCTCCTTGCCTCCCTTCCCTACCTGGGCCTCAGGAATGAAAGGAGCAGGTACTTCCAGGAGTTGTGGGGAGGGAGCAGAGGCCTGTAAGGTAAATGCCTTCCCCGCCCCCAACACTTAAAAAAGATGTTTTTCATGAATTTAAAACAAGTGTGTGATATTCATTACCAAGCTTAGCCAGTTACTCATTATGGAGAG